GGGGGGGGGGGGGGGGGGGGGGGTGCAGAGCCAGTGGAGGGTCAGGCCTCATCCTCTCAACATGTGTGCACCACTGGCACACTTTCCAGGGAAAGGAAAGAGGAAAAGAGAGGAGGGTGGGCGGCCAGTAATGGAAAAAGGTGTAAGAAAGCAATTAGGGGTATATGAGATGATGGAAGATTAATAACAGAAATAGTATTTAATCCTGAGGAAAAGAAGGAATATCTGAAAGAAAAAGAGACAATCACAAAGAGGGAAAAAAGACAGAAAATATAAGTTTTTTTGATTGTTTGTTTTACATCCAATGTCCATAAAAGACAGAATTTTTTTTGCAAAAAAGAGAATTGTTATAATTGTGCGAAAAATAAACCAGGCATCTTGAGCAAGAGGGGGAGAGACTGCTGCCACATCCGTGAGGTTTAGCACTAATCAGGCTGTGGGTGGCAGCCACGCTTCAATCCCCCCGAGAGCCCTCAAGAGGGTCAACAACACCCCAGAGCTTCTGTGAGCTTCTGTCTCTCCAAAGGCCTCCACTTGTGTTTGCAACAATGTGTACCAGTGTGTTTGTGTAAAGGCTCTAAAAAAACACATCTGACTAAACAAACCTGGTAAATCTGCAGATTTCTGGGGAGGACAGGAGGAAACAAAACGGCGTGTTATTAAGAGGAGAACTGGAGGAGGTCAGAAACCTCCAATCTGCTGTCTCACTCTCCATCTAGTGGTGACCGGGGGCAACCGCACATCTGGACTCTGAACCGGTCCAGGGATCAACTGGGAGGTTTGGTGCAAGTTAAATGTTGCTCATTTCCTATTTTGATCATTTTTAAGGAAATGGTTTATAACAGCACGCCCCATATGCTGGTTGCATTAGACTTTGAGATCACAGGAAGTTATTTTCTGGGGAAAATATTCATATGGAGAAAAAAAAAAGGAAATTAAAAAAGAAGGAGTGAAAAAAAGGAGATTGGCCTATAAAAATAGAACATCATATGTGTGTGTGTGTATATATATACATATTAATAAATATATACACACATCTTCCTATCGATAGATAGATTGATAAATAGAGAGACAGACAGATAAATATTCAGTTTTTGTAGTAAAAATTAATATGTAAATGAGCCACAACAGCTGAAAACAACAGCCATGCTTTGGAGTTGTTTGCTTGACCTAAAAAAAAGATTTGACACATATATATACATATATGTCTATACTGCTACCTTTGCCAGGACGGAGATGTACTTCTTGAGGGATTTCAGAGCCTCCTCTTTAATGACCGGATGGCTGGCCAGCTCCAGGCGGAGGGAGTAGTGCAGGCTGGACTCCAGGTCGGCCATGTAAACTCTGGACCTGCACACAGGGACACGGTCATCCACAGAGCCAGCAGTCCCCCCTCCCCGCTGAAGAGCTGATGTTCTCTGACCTGTTGAAGGGCCTCCAGGTCTCACTGACCGTGCTGTTGGTGCGCAGCCCCGTGGAGACCGGGGGGGGCTTCCCCGAGCGCACCACCCCCGGCAGCCCCTGGAGGGCATAGGAGTAGAAAGCACGAGCCTCCACGTTGCTGTGGGGAGGAGGAAAAATATCCCAATGAAAAAACAAAGCTTTTAGTCAGAAAACGTACACATATGCTTTTTAAGAACTAAAATAAATACATGCATATCTTGATCATTTTAGAAACAATATTGCTATTTCAACATATGTGGAGATTGGTGACAAAACATTCAGTGGTGGTTTCAGTCCCTCAAGTCAACCCATGAACAAACTAAATGTCCAAACACAGAAAAAACAGCAACATTCAGTTTCCATTGTGGATTTTTGTTTTTTTTTGCTCATCCATTATCTTATTAATACAGGATGATATAACAGACTGCACTACACATACCTAGAAACAGAAAAGTTCAGCTATTTAGGAAAAAAGGTGTGGAGAAAAAAGTAATTATAACTCAAGCTGCTAAAGCAGCCTAAAATAATGAGTTCTACAACTGTAAAAAAGAAAGAAAAAAAAGCTAACAAATGGAAAAACTTCTGCAAAGTCCAAGTGACTTTAGGTAAACTAAAGCACACAGCTTGATGACATGGATGTTACATTACACAGCTTGATGTCACTCTTCTTGGAGATAAGCTGGGTTCTGCACAGCTAGCTGAAATGAATTTAGCCGTCCCCTTGTAAATGTTTAAATAAATTCAGGAGAACCTGTTCTGTTCTTTTTTATGATCCGTCTTACTAATCTTTATCATTTCTTCTGTCCGGGTCACATTCTGAGACTGATAAAAGCTTTTGTTTAGCTCATCAAAACAGATTACAGATATCCTTCACTCATTCTAAAACTGTTTAACATCTAATGTAGGTAGTTTGTTAACAGTAAAACTGAGGTGGTATTTATTGTAATTGTGTGTTTTTGGTGTGAAATATTATTAGCTTTCATTCTGTCTATGGAAACAAGAGCAATAAAGACAGGTGTGGATAAAATCTCCAGATTTGGGATTCAGAGTCAAATCCTGATGTGAATGATATGAGGGCAGAACTGTCCAGCAGCGTCCAGATGCTGATGTCCAGCCCACTCAGGGGTCTGTGCACTTGTTGCCAGTTTGCTTTCCATGTGTGGAATATTTTACCA